CTATTTATAATTAAATTTTATTCTTTTATTGCCCTTTGAACCATTTCTAACTACTATTCGTGCCATTATAAGTTGTAAATCACCTGGGGAACATGCAGTTCACGTTACACTATCAATTTACATTACCAACAAGCTGCAAGTGTGCATGTCTGGTGAAATATTATTATTATTTATTTTATCTAATCTAACCTTAACTAACCTAAAGAGATCCCTATTTTTACATTTTAGTAACTTTATAATAATAAATAAAGAATAAATGAGAAATAAAGTACTTACTAGGACATACTTTTTTATAGTACTTACCCAAGTTTTTTTTTGTTTTGTTTTTATTTGCTGTCGACTATTGGTGACATTTAACCCTACTTGTTATACTAATGGCTTTCTATTGGTTATAGATAATATAGAATTAAACATAAGAGAGTTAACAAATTAATAAATCCTGAATGAGAGGATGTGTCAGTTGTGTGTGTGGCAAGAGGGGGTCTGATTTCCTATATGATGGCTCTGTAATCAAGCAAAAGTGAAGGCTATAAAAATTGTGGTTTGTCTAAGCAATGATGATTTTATTGTGAGTAATTTACATTTAATTTTGTGCTTATTGGAGGGATGGTGAATAAAATAGAGAAGAGGAGATGCCTAGAGAAAATGTTTCACACGTGTTACACTAGGGGAAATTCGGGATTTTTTAAAATATTCATTTATGAAATTAAAAACTTAAAATATACATACAATGTATATATAAAATGGCTCTGTAATCAAACAAAAGTGAAGGCTATAAAAATTGTGGTTTGTCTAAGCAATGACGATTTTATTGTGAGTAATTTACATTTAATTTTGTGCTTATTGGAGAGATGGTGAATAAAACAGAGAAGAGGAGATGCCTAGAGAAAATGTTTCACATGTGTTACACTAGGAGAATTCGGAATTTTTTAAAATATTCACTTATGAAATTAAGAACTTGAAATATACATACAATTAAATTATGAATTATTTGCTAAGATTTTATGCTATACTAATTGGTATAACATGAATAAAATGTAATGTAATAACATTTTGAATGTAAGTCATTAAAACTTCAGGACATGCAGTAAATAATGCCCAGGCAGATAGGGTTAATTGATGATTATTGGAATAATCAAAAATGGTAATGCTGATTTTATTTAGTTGGTTAATTTCATGACAATCAATTTAATCATAATTTGGATTAAATGACTGTTGGAATAATCCAAAACAATAATGATCAGTTAATCAATTAATTCACATGACACAAATTGATGTAATTGCTGTTTATGGATAATCAATTAAATTACCCAGCATGTGATCATTCATCTCTATCATTTTGAAAATTAATGGCTATAAAAAAATCACTTAAATATGCCTCAAAAGAAACTTGTACAAAATAGTATTCCACAGAGAGCATTCTTGAATGCTTTTTTGAACACAAAAAAGCAAACTGCAATGACACCAACCCTAACAATAATCAATGGTGTCTATTAGAAGCATGTTTAAAATTGTTATAACTGTTTGAAGAAATTGGTAAAAAAATTGGCTTCACAGACTCAATTATTTCTATAGTTATCTCAACTTGAGCTACCCTTCATTGTTATCTATCAAAGGATAATACAATACACTTTGGACTGGAAATTAAAACATCCTTGAGAGATGGTCTTTAAACTAGATTTGTTGGATTACAAAGCAATCCAAATTTTACCTGTAGTAGTTTTGTTGGATTCTTGCTTTAAAGTAGAATTTTTGATATATTAACAGACCCAGGTAATGAAATGGGATGTAGTAGAGAAAGTATTGACACTGTTAATCTAAATATCTCAATCAAATATGATTGAAAGTAGAGATAGTGGAAATTATATAGATTACTCATCAGCAGCAGCACCACCATCTGAGTTTATGAAAAGAGATACGACTTCTGAAATTGCTACAGTGAATAACTGCAGGCATCTGTGACATTAATTATAGTTGTCAAACAGGTCATAACAAAATTGTTGTTGTCACCAGTGAAATTAAATATTATTTTTTCTACCACTTTTAAAGCAACAATCTAATCTTTTATTGTAATGGAAACTGAACAAAAAAAATTTCCTATTTCAAGAATATTCCTATCAGTACCAGCCAGCAATGTGTATAGTACAGATATGTACATGTATGTGTAATGTAAAGTAGTTGACTATGTTATATTAAACCAGTTTTGGAGCCTGACCACATCATTATAGTCTACGTTGCCACACCCAATCATGTTCTATCTGATGGTCATACATCTTGACAATAGCCTGCAGCATAGTTTTCACTGGAAGAGGATCTGTTATAATGCTGTCACTGTTCCCTGCATGCTTTCCATAAATCAGCTAGTATATAAGGATGATGGTTTCCCAGTGCCTATTTTAACTGTCTGGTCATACAGAAATTTATAGATACTGCAACTGCAACATGATATAGAGTAGCATAATTAGGTCTTTCATTCTCCAGTTGCTTGAGGTTTATGGTAGTTGAATGTATATGTTGTGAAAGCAACCTTTGTACACATGACTAATAGTGCTTTTCCAGATGGAGATCCTTCTTGATTATATTGCATACTGTTGGCTCAAGACATGTGGAAGGCTTGTGCCACTGAATTTTGTCTTTGTTGATTCTCACTTGTTACAGAATGCTGCACCTCATTTACCACAGCTGGAGTATAAGTTGTTTCAGATGTTCTTTTTAGTGGTCCTTGTGTCCCAAATTGATCATATTTCCAGTGCCATTAAATACAAAGGAAACTTGGAAATTCTAAATACACATTCTTAACACTTCTTTATGATTTAAGTGTATGAATATTTTATGGGTCTGCTACATACCCTTCCCAAAAGCAATCAATTTTCAGTGGCATTACGCTACTTATGAATGTCAATGCTTGTGTTTGGAAGAACATTATGCTAATACAACACTAAATTGACAAACAACAATTATAAGAATTATGCACTTCATTATGCGTACAATCATTGTTTGTCAATTTAGTATTATGAATGGCAAACAATGTCAGAATGCAGGTCTGATACATGCCGTTCAACTGAAACTTTGTATCAGTTGCGGTTATCACGTGACTTTCTGATTTGTATATTTAAAATCATTTTAAATGAAAATATAATAATAAAAAAAGTAGACACATTAAATATTCTAATCAATACTGTTAATAAAAAAATAACATTAAAATAAGAAAAGGTAATACCTTACTTATAAAACACATAAACACCCAAGTCTTGATTTCTGTTTGCAGCTTTTACAAAGACTGTCAAGGTTCGTGGCCAGGAATATTTTCTGAAATTGGTTGACACTGCAGGGCAGGTAATGAAGAAAAAGATAATTTATTTTTTTAATGATTTATCAGACATTAAAGATTAGCACACCAGAATAAACTGTTTTATTAGCTAGCTTAGTGTACTAATATGTTGTGTACAATGTTTTTTATTGAATAAGTAGAACTTGCATCATTAATAACAGCACACACTTTTTTGTAACATTACAGCATTATCTTTTATTTTTCAAACTTGATCAAAGTGCACTAAATGTTTTATTATAGGTTTTAAAATTTGCTTATAAATTAAAAAAATTAAGTTATTTTTGTTTATTTAAATTTGTATCTGGCTGTTTAAATACTTTTAAGAACCTTTTGTAACTGAACAGATTAGGAAGAAGAATGTTAGATGAATAAATTCATTGCAAAAGAAGTTTTCATTTCCTTTGTTTAACTGAGGTTTATTGCAACTAATTATTATTATTATTTTCAATTGTTCCAACTATCCAAGTAATCAAAATTTTCCCATTATAATTTTTCGTTATTGATTTTTTTGATTAATTCAAATCTGTACAGCTTCAAGCTGGCATGGCCTGGTGATTAGATGGTTATTTGTGAGTCGAGGGTCACAAGTTTAATTCCAATTGCCAGCAACCATGCTTGCCCTTTAAACCATAATGGGGCATTGTATTTGTTTCTTTGTTTTTACATTAAGGTAAATCTGCTATGGCTATCTGCCACTGTTCTTAAAACTGATCTAAAAGTTGATTTCATGTGATAAAATTATTGTTTTGAATTGCTGTGTGTTGTAATTTTCTTATTTGATAAATCTTTTCCTTTTTAGGATGAGTACTCTATTTTTCCCCAGTCTTATTCTATGGACATTCATGGTTATGTCTTAGTGTACTCTGTCACATCAGCTAAAAGGTAGTCTTTTTTCCTGAAATATACATAATTTAATGTGATTGTTGTTTGAGTATGAGATATAATTTATAAATAAGGTGAAACAAATAGGAGTATTAAACAGAGATTATAGTGTATGCTGCTTATTTCACTCATTTTGTAGAATGAATTATGAATTTTAATAAACCTCATGTTTGTGATGAAAATCATGTAAAATCTCAAATGTTGTTTTTCTACACCTCTGGTATGAAATCTGTAATGGGCAAGTTAAGAGGAATGTGAAAAAAGAACATCTGTAGTCTAACATGATTTTAATCTTAAACATTAGGTTTCCAGTGCTTCACCAGGTTACAACATCCAAACTATAACTTAACTTGAAATTATGAATATGTGTAGATAATATAACTATGAAAAAATTATAAAAAATTAATTAAATCAGATGCTTTTAAAAATCAGTATGAATAAAATGTACTAGAGGCTTATGTGTCCCTTAAGTTGGCTCCAAATGAGGTTTGAAAGTTGAGTAAATTTTGAACATCTTTACAGGCAGAACAGTACTTGATATGTTTTTTATATATCTTACCCATGCTAATAAGAATGATTTCAAACCTACTAGGTGACTTCATTTCATAGCTGAAATGCCTAACTTACTAAGCTCAGTATCAAGCATTTTAGTGTGGTTTGAGGTATGAATCACGAGAATGAAGTAATTTCATTTCTAATAAGGAAGTGCTTACATGAATGAGCAGTTTATTTTTCTTTCAAGGCTAATTGCACATTTAGATTTTCTACTTCTGAACAAAGTATTGAAATAGTTGCATGATTTTAAGGTGAAGGCTGATTAGGGCTGTATTCGAAGGTTTGTTCACTAGCTAGGGCTCTTCGGGTAGCATCCAAGCAAAGTCAGATTGTTTTTTTTCTTATATTTACCCTATTGAGATGGGTAGGAGTCTGAGGGCATGTCATCACGTTTGTAGATTTACATTCAAAATTTTATTTAGCTATTATTTTATAAACGTATGTTAATAACTTTGGTATCAAATTGTAGATTATAATTCAAATTTTAGTATTGTGTATTAGATAGTTTATTAATTTGAATGTTAATGTTTAAAAAAAGGCTAAATATCAATTTTTGTGTGTCACGTGGTATGTGGCCTTCTGGGTTTGGTCACATTGCATTTTATGATGCCCACAATACAACGTCTATAGTTTCATATGAATTAGAAACTCAAATGTTTGATATTGGCAAGCTAGAATATAAATAAGAACCTCCTAACTTTTTTATTTGCTGAGATATGATATTTACTGAACCCACCATATTGGCTCCACCCACCACTTCATAATTTGAGAAGACTTTTTTTTATTTACACCTGCTTTTCTGTACCTATAAGTTTATAACCAATCGAAAGATCTACATTTCCTCTATGAAATTTTGTTAGTCTTTCTAAGTTATTAAGGAGAGAAATGCTCTTATATCATTGGGAAGTTTGAAGTATTACTATCAAGGCTATTTTGTGAATAGAAATTATATTTTTTTAGACCCAAATACAATTTAGTTAGGAAGCCTGATAAATTACAGTGGATTTTTAGGGTATTGGTATAGTAATTTATAATTTTCTTGTATTCCAAAATGCTTATATAAAGTCTACAAAAATTATAATTTTTCCATCTCCACATGTGAATTTGCATGAGGCTTAGCAAGTATGGCTCACAAGTGCAAACAAGGACTTCATAGCAACTTAAGTAATAGAGATTATTCTTTTCCAAATATCTTTTATTTACTGTTTTATGCTTGAGGAAAAATAGCTGACATTTAAGTATTTATTAGAAAACATTAGTTAGGTATGTATATATATATATAGGCACACACATATACATATATAATGTTACTGTATTTTACAAAGTAAAAACTTGTGTTATTTTTTTACTTGCTTACACTGAGGTAAAATAAAAAGAAATTATAAAAAACTAAAGACTTGGCAATTCAGGAAAATTGTTTTATGTAATTTGTGAAAGTCTAAGAAATAAATTTATAGCTGATCAACTGAGCTTAACACATGAAAAGGAACATCTTTACATAAAAGTGTGTAGATCAAGGAAAATGTCCACAAAAATGATTCAATACAAAACCAATATTAAAAATAAGAAAAAAATGAAGTTTTATAACATATTAGTTCACTTTCAAATATAAGGAAAATAATGTACATACAAACAAAACTATAAAAGAGGTTTGAAATTTCAGAAAATATTATTGTACATTACAAAAAGTACTCATTTATGCGGAGAACAATGTACATAAAAACTCGGACATAATGAAGATTTGTACGAACACAAATAACACGTGAAAAGGAACATTATTACTTTACATACAATGAAAACTTGTGCAAAATTATTTCATTAACAAAATGCAAAAAATAAAATAAGAAATGGGAAAAGTAAATTGTAGAAACTTTTAACTTGTTTGAAGAACAGCAGTAGTATGATATTTTTCAAAGTGTTTGAAACAAAGAAATTCATTACAGAGTTTACATTTCATTTGTATCTTGTTGTTTGTAAGACAGAGTCTACATCTTTTCCTATCACTTTTCTCAACAAGTGTGGGGTAATGCCTTCCAACAGTTAATCTCAGAGTTGAACAGTCCTTGAAAGTGGTATACCAGAAGGACCTGGTCTGCTTTGAAGTAGAGGCTGGACAAGCCAAGTGACCAAATCCATTCTGAAGGCCTTCTGGGACAATGTTGACTGGTTGTTCTTCATTTTTTACAGTACAGTTGTCAAGTTCAAAAGTAAAAAAAACAGTTTCTTATACCACTTTATCATCTTTCCTCCAGTAGAATAGTAGTTTGTGTGTTGGTCATTCAGGTCCACCCCACCCACGAACTTGTAGGCCACAATCAACTGAGGTTTTGTAACCTCAGTGTCCTTCCCTCTCCTTGTCACAGTTGTCATAGTACTAAAGTGGAAAGGGCATAAACATCTCGTTTGTCATTCTATTTTACAGCTGTCAAAGTTCCACAAGCATAGGTTCCAACAGACAATAATTTGTCGAATAAATGAGGGGAAGTGTAAAAATTGTCCATGAAAACCCTATGTCCTAGTCTATTGTACTTGTCCATCAGTTCCATTACAATGTTGTCTGCGAGACACCTAGCTGGTGTTTGTCATTCTTTACCTCTGGAGATCTTAAATTTAAGACAGTATTCACTCACAGCTTCTGCCAGGACCCACAACTTGATACCCTACTTGACAGGTTTCTTGAGCATGTACTGAAGGAAACCAATTCTACATTTTGTGCCTAACATTTGCTCATCTATAGATAGTTCTCTGTTAGGAGAATAGTGAGAAACAGAGGATTTTAGAAGAAGGATTACAATAGGTGTTACTTTGAAAAGTTTATCATACTTAGGAGCAGTTTTAGGTAGAGCATTGGTATTGTTATTGAAATGTAAGTATCTATGAATAGCAAAAAACCTGTCCCTAGATAAGATTCAGTAAACCCAGGAGTATGAAAAAGAGGATAAGAAGACCAGTAGTCAGAAAGAGAAGGAAGAGGCTTGAGACCCATAACTATAGTGAGATCAAAGTAGGCTAAAATGTCTTCAATATTAACATTAGTCCATTTCACAGTTTGTTTGTTTTTAATTGCAACTTCATTGTCTCTAGCATATCTATTTGTTTCATTGGTTATAAGTTGAATTATTTCTATTGTAAAGAAAAGGTTAAAAAAATCATCAGAATCTATATGAGAGACAACTTGTCAGGAAACAGGTTCACCTGTGATAAATGTAGTTTGTTTTATTCTTTAACGATTTCTCTCCACCTTCGTATATCATTAGAGGAGAGGGGTTTCTTCTGCTCAGAAGGAACAGCTCCTGCAGAGGCTCTAACTCTGCCCCTCCCTCTTATCCTGTCCTGACTCTTTTTCAGTGGTGGTGGTTCTTCAGGACCATCTTCTCTTAGTGAACTTGCACCAGCTACATCCTGATCTGTCCACAGGACAGAATCAAGAAGAGCTGGTTCAGTATTTTTTGGCCATTGACTTTTATGAAGAACTTCTGTCAGAGGCATTGCAAGAGAAGAATCAACTTCAGATGCCTCTGACAGGCCTCCTTTATCAGAATAAAATGACATATTTAGGAAGAACTCAGTTTCCTCCTGTGTCAAGACCTTCTTCTTCTTCAGTTTTTTGTTGTTTTTTTTAAGTTTAGGTTCCATTTCTAGTACGCAAAAATATAAGGCTTCATTACACATTTTCTATTGCATATCATGTTACACATTGTATATCATCACATTTATATTGATTAGAGATTCTATATATGTTGTAAATGATGATTACTTACATGCAGGTAATACTTCATAAACACCTGGTTGAACTTGCATTTTGCTGGGGAATAATGTTTCTCAAGTTACAATCAAGATGGCTAAGCCAAGAATACTAGCCCAACCAAAACAAGCCATATTTATATTATTGGAAACTACACATTTATTGATTACTGTGTAAGCATGGTAATATAGAAAACAGCATTTACACCTACACCAACGCTAAATTCCGACCATCAAGTAAGATAACTAGCAAGTTCATTGTATAGGATACCACTGTATACTTTGTACAGAGCTATATCATAAATATTTTCTCTCACTTTTATAAAGTAATTTAGACAATTCTTCTTGCAACCACAGTATTGTAAAAAAGCCAGCAAATTCTATACCACTGTGTTCTTGGAGTCACATCTGATTAGTTTCTGTAGGATACTTCTGCTTTTTGACTTATTGGATCAGCCTGGACTTTCTACAAAGCCATAAACATTTTATAATACTTTAGACAATTGTCATTGTAACCATTATACTATCAACAAGTTGATATATCCTATCCCACTGTGTTTTCAAAGAAGAGAAAATTCTGGGAATTGTGCCACATGAACTTATTTGATATTGACAGTGTCAAAGTACAGTAACACCTAAACAGGAATGGTGATTCGTTCGTTCATATTCAGCAGGTTTCTAATTAAGCTGCTAACAGTAGAATAACAATAGAAAGTAGGTGTAAAAAGATTAGAAGAAACTCTCAGGAGATTTACTTGAAACTTTACTGTCCGTACTGGAATGAATAGAGTACTATTCATTTCGTTTCTTCTAGTTTCTAACTCATCTATTAGCAATAAAATAACTACAGAAAATAATTGTGAAAAGGTGAGAGCGTAAACTCTGACCATAAGTACTTTGAAATTTTGTAATCACTACTAAAAATACTATACATTTTATTTTGCAACCTTTATTTTCAGTATACTTTGATTACTTACCTAAAACCTGGAAAAATAAATATAATGTTACAGTATAAAAAAGGAATATAATATAAAGCTTTACTGAAAATAAAAATGTTTGATATTTAATTGTGAGTTTTTTTATTTTTCATTTGTTTTCACTGTTTATTATTATAAAAGTAACTAAAATAATAAAAATAGGAAGTTGTTAGATAAGATAACGAAAGAAAAATAATAAAAATCTTCCTGGGGTATACGTGCCAGAAGCTTCTGCATTATGCTGTTTGATTCAGTCATGTTGATGCACGTGCTTCATGTAATTTTCAACTTCTGTCGGGGTATTTTTAGTCAGACATGGTTCAAAGGTCAATAAAACAAAAATTAATAAATATATTTATATTGTTACGAGATTTAAGCTATTTAGAATAAACATTTGTGGCTTCCTATTACAATTTGCAGTTATTCTAGAACAGAAAAGGTAACTTAGATTCATTTCCTAATTTATATGTTGGTTACGAGGTTGGTCAAATTGATCAACACCATATAGAGTTAACATTGATAAAATAACATGTTAAAAAAAACGTTTGATTATCTAGAAGGATGTAGAGATTATGCAAATGAAACTTGACAAATTTCAGATAAAGAAAAGTATGTTTAATCTTAAAATCCAAATTACTTTGCACATTGGATAGTCAACATTCTGAAAGAAAAAATTCACGAGCAAATTTTTAATACAAAAATCTCAAAGCATAATTCATAAACCTGATATTACGTATATGAAATCAGTGTAATATTTACTAATAATCTGCAAAATTTTGTAAAGACTTGCATACATTTTTAAAAATTATAGTACAATTACTCTCATAGATACTTTCCTGGTTATGAGCTGGGTGGATTCCACCGAGCCCATAATGGAAAGGTCAACAGAAATTGTTTGACAACATTTGAATAGTAATCACACTTTAAATGTTTCTCACATGAAAAACTTGATATTTTGATTTGTAAATGTCCATTACTGAAACTGAAGTTGTTGTATTAATAAAAACACACACTGCTCGCTATACATAGCAACTTTTTCCGTGTGTTGGAGCGGACAGTTATGGTGAAGCACGCGGATGGATTTATTTGATGGTTGCACTGCTTTGGTAAAAAATAATTAATGCTTAATGTATGAAACATAAGAGAAGTGTTATTTTAAACAACAGATACTTTTCACAGCTACTCTGTCCTTTAACTTTTTGTTATAATTGAAGATCCTTAATTAATTTCAAACCCAAGTGTTGCTGTTACTCTGTTATGTTTTGCTGTGAATTTATAATATTTATTTATTTGGTTGATGCCTTTATCCAAGGCATATATTTACTTACTCAACATTTTTGTTGAAAAAAATGTGACTCATAATAAATTCTTTTGTAACTTTTTTTTTTTTATAGTTGAAGGTCCTAGTTTTAGTCTGATCTGTTTTGCTTTTTATATATTATTATAATTATTCAGTATGTTAATTAATCAACAATTTTATGTTAAAAATACTATTACTTTTAAACTGCTTGGAACAGTGACTGTTAAATGAAGATTTGTTTTGCTTAAGTTAGATGCAGTTTTTTTAATGGCCACAATAAGATGTTCTTGCAATGCAAACTTATTGTATGTAGATATGTGAGTATTGCATTAGCATTAAATCTAAATACATAAATAATGTGCATTTTTTAGTCATATGTAAATATAAAAAGATAATTAACATGCTATATAACATATTCTTTAAACTACATATAAATGCTTTATTTTATTTACATGTAAATTTACGTGTGTAAAATAATTTTTTTAAATCAAATAAACTAGTAATTATGGAGACATCATCAATAAATTATACAAATCAATACTATTAGAGGTTCATACATTTGTTCAATGATATGTTTCAAATATTTGAAGGTCAAAATCTACCCTGTTTTAAAAGTCCTAAAGCTAACATTTTTGTAGATAAAATTGCTAGTCTGTCTTATAAAACAAAATTGAAATATATAATGAAAATATTGAAGGTTTTATATTCCAGAATTTGTGTATTGTTTAAACAAACTTTTTCATTCTCTAATCTAAAATCTGATTTGGGATTGTGAATAATCTGCAACAGTAGGTATTGTTTAGTTACTAATTATATGGTAGTAAAAATTAAATGTTATGTGTTAAAAAGAATTGGACACAATTTTAGAGACTGGCTATATTACACTGGTACAGGTAGAATTATTATATATATATATATATATTGTGTGTTTGTACCTTTTAAAAGAATTTAATGTTTTCTTTTTTTAAAACCTAGTTTTGAAGTAGTGAAGGTTGTTTATGAAAAGTTGCTGGATATGACAGGAAAAGTACAGTAAGTTCAGTTTGATAAATAGTAGTTTCTAATGCCAACAATTTTCCATGTTCACTTGCTCTTGTGGTATTTGACATTATTGAATATGGATACTTAGTAAGTCTTACTATCACTGTCTATCGGTCAAAGAATAACATAACTGTGGCTTGATATTTTTTTCTCACTTTATTCAAATATGACACATTGTGTTGTATATTGTATGAATTCTATACCAGTAGTTAGTGAAAAAAGCAGAAAAAAACTTATCAGTATATCAAAACAAAGAGAAAGTGATGAGTTGAGTTGTCTTTGAATATATTAGATGTGGTAAAAAAATGCCTATGTGTATGTTTAGAGATGAAAGGTAAGCATGGATTTCTATAGTGTTTAAAATGAATTAACAGTGTTACTATTTGTTTCATGCAAGATTTCTTTAATTTACTAATCATATAAAAGAGCTATATTATGAAGAGATTGTGTAATGTTATTTGCAAAGTATTTATTTTAGTTGTGTTTGGTCATTGTTTTATTGTAAGGAATGATCCTGTGTAATGTTAAGAACATAAAGGCAACTGTTTATTTTTAGATTGTCAACTTTAGAAAATTCATACCTCTTATTCAAATAGTTTATGATAGGATATGTCTACATTTCAAAGTTTTTGATGTGATGTCACATGAGGAGGTAGCACCTGCAGTACAAGAAAAGCATTACTTTGAACCTGAATACTTCCATGTTGTCATTCTAAAGTTTTAACATGCACTTTGATCTTCCAAAAACAAGACATTTCTTTGGTGATTCAGAAATCAGAAGAATGTCTGATATACCTTAAATAATTATAAACTTAATAAAATTATTTTATGTAACAGAAATGCCCATCAGTTTTCCAAAATCTAAGTTTTTCAACAGTTTCTACCCATTTTCTTATTAAATGACAACAACTTCCAGGAAACAATTTGTCATATAGTTTTAGCTTGTTGATTATATCTACAGCTTTAAGAATGTTGGGATTTTGTTTTACTGTTGACAGATCAAACATCTTAATCTGTGCTGACTAGGCATTCTAGAAGTCTTGCATTATACCTAAAAAGCTTAAAATAATATGTTGGCTCAGAGGAGTTTCAGTACTAATAGTTTATGTTTTAATAAGTATGTCAAAATACTATTGAAAACCTTTTCATTTGTATTTTCTAAGGAAACATTATTAACAGACATAGATATGTTGTCTTATAAATAACATTTAATAATAATAATCTTGAACAAAATTGTATATTTGTTATATTTTGCCATTTATGGCATCATGAATGTTTTTATGTACCAAGCATGATAATTGCAGATTCTAAACACTTGTTATATACACACTCGTGTGTGTACATGATTTTGTATGTATACAATACAGATATATTAATTTTTAAATGTTTATCATTTATTTCTTCTCAGTGTGCCAATTGTATTAGTTGGAAATAAAGTTGATTTGCACATGGAAAGGTAAGAAAATTTTTCTGATGTTGTTCTGTTTGATAATCTTGAAACCTCAATAATGTCTTTTAACATTGTTGTTAATAAAGCTGTAAGAGAACCAGATATAGGCTAGCATTGAAATTTCAATTTTATTGATCTAAAGAGTAAAGGAAAATGATTAATTATAATTTTTTAAATAACCTAACAAAAAAAGTGATTTGATTTCCCATGCAACTGTGTAAAATTGATAATCAGTTCAAGCTTTTAACCATATAAACAACATTTGTAAAATATTTAGTGATTAAACAATTTTGAAAAAAATTTCAAAAAACATTGAAAATCTATTGATTGTTAGTATCATTTATAAGTTAAGTTTTGTAAATATAAACTAAAGCTGATTTTTAAACTGATTATTAACAAGTATGTCAAATTTATCATTAGAAATCAGATGTATGATCTACCGCTTATTTAGCTTTTATTGTATATCCCTTAAATATAGGTTAAAATATAAAGATACTAACAAAAGTACCTGCCCCTAATGACTGAAAAAGTGTATGTTAATTTTTGAATTTAAATTATTTCACTGACTTGAAAAAAGATGAAGTGTGTTGAACTCTTGGTTTCACTTAGAGCCATAGCTCTAAGCTACTTATACTGCCCACCACAAAAAGTAATTGCTGACCATTTCAGTCATGTTAAGAGCTGGTCAGCAATAACATATGATAAATCTACATTTTTATTCTTTAAGGTATGTCACATTTAGTTTAAAATATCCTGCTTGAGAAATAAAATTTGTCATCAACATTATTCATGCCTTTTCTTCCATCATTTCAAATGTGAATGTTGAGCTTTGTCTCTGTGTGCAGTTTTTCAAATGGAAGACAGGCGAATGCTCGGACAGACACCATGATTCACAATATATATAATATTAGCAAATAACTCTTAGAGAGCATTTCAACAGCCTTAAATCTTCTATTAACATCATAAAAGACCTCCCTGTTGTTCAACACTTACCAACCTGGTCATTCAATTAATGATGTGACTTTCATCTGTATTAAAACCAGTTTCAAAACTGGAAATGAGAAACACTTATAACAATACATTGAAAGCTAGTCAAAGAACTTCTAAATTTCAATAGTGGCCTGCATGATGTCACTCAAATTCCACTTTATCCCACACTTTGCTTTACATGGTCATTCCCAGTTTGCTTCTGAAGGAGAAAGGTCTACCTTTCGAAAGCATTCAGCTTATAGGGCATTGTATTTTTGTATTTAGAGTATTAGCAAAGTGAGTTACATATTATTATCATTTGATCATGTTGAGAAAGGCTGAGTGCGTTGTCAGTCATTTAATGTTGTGGTTGATTTCCCAAACTTCAATGTTTAAAAAAAACATTTCTTAGTTTAAAAAAATTATACTTTTATGTTAAGTTGACTGATATTTGGTGTCCTTTCTTCATTTATTTTATTGATTAATACAAGGACAATGTGAAGTTTTGAACTTTGTATTCTGACATTTTATGTACTATAAATACTATTATGTTTAAGCTTGCAGACACTTTTTGAACTTGAACTTTAGTCTTTTTAATTGATAAGGAATCAGTTTGATGTTTAGAAACATTAGAATCAGAATTTGTCTTGGTTTTTCTGGCTAGTATGAGCATAAGATGGAAATGACAAAGATACATTTTCTTTTTTATATAGAGTAATTAGTTATGATGAGGGGAAAAAAACAGCTGATAACATGAAAGCAGCTTTTTTAGAAGCTTCAGCTAAGCAAAATCAGGTATGTAGAAATTATGTTAGTATAGTTGTTACTAATAATTGTGTGTTCAGTATTTAATGTTTGCATTTTTCTGAACAAAAACATTTGAAAATTGTTTTAGTGCAACTTGATAACTTTTATGGTGTCATTTCTGTAAAATTTATACCAAGGTCCATACACTTTTCATTCCACAAAACGTTCAGACTTATCTAGGACACTTAAGGCCACTTTTGTCTATTTTCAAGGATGTTTTTACCACGCAGTATTAAAACACTTTCTATGAGCATCTTTATCTGTGTATGTCATGATGTTTTTGTGAGTTACATTCACAATTTAATTAGAGTACTTTATTATCATGGTATACAATTAACTTGGCATCAAAACATAGCTAATAATCCAAATTTTAATATTATGTAAGTTTTAAGTTCTTACTTTTTAAAATACTAGCACATTGTTTTGAAAACTGCTTTGAAATTTAAGTATAGATGGGTGGAGCTTCTTTCCTGGATTGAGAAAAGTATTTATTTTTTACTACAGGAAGAACTTAGCTCATTGAACCTGTATATTTGACATTGGAATTATTTATAGATTGTGTCTAGGATAAGTCAAACAGTGTACTTGCTATAATATTAAAGTTATACAAACTGAAAAGGAGAATTCAGAATGCAGATACATTATGAGACACACAGAAATGAATATTGAGAATTTTTTAGATAATCTTTTGAGAGTTTGAACTGCTAAACATTTCACTTTATTTTCTGCATTTATTTTACTGTCAATGACTAAAGTAGAAACCTACTGAAAATAAGGCAGTAAATCACGGCTTGTGTCAGTAGACTGTTTATATGACACCATAACACAATACGCTCAAAAGCAACAAAGCATGTGCAAAGAGAGAGTTGACTTGACCCCTACTCCGAAACAGGATGTCTAATGTATTGGATTATATGTCTCACAGCATTTACTTGGAAAATTCACCATAGTAATCACACTGCACTTACAATCAGTGAAAATGTTTATACCAACAACAGGATGTGGAATTTATCAGCATGTATCCTACAGTGTTTATAACAAGAATTCTCCAGAGTACAAAATATCCCATTCCTATTCAGAGCAACAACTTAGTCATCACACTTCAACACAGTTTTAGCAAAATTATTACTTTCTCCTTCAAGCTATTTACAAATGACTATCAGATTTATGTAGAAGGGAAACTGCTCTTTCTTTTGGTTATAAATATGCACTAATTAGTAGGTGGAACTAGACAAGACGTTTTTAAAGAATGGAGTAGTGGGAGGAGCCACTGGTAGATTTGCTAAAAATATTGACATCTCAGCAAATCATAGAAATGTAAGGTTCTTATTTTGTAATTAGCTTGTCCGTACCTCAGATTTGAGTTTCTGATTCGTTAGCCACTGTACACATTGTATGGTTGCTGTAAGGAAATGCAAATTGAGCAATGTGACAAACAAAAATTTATATTTATAATTTTTTCTTTGTTTCCCTTTAAATTAAGAAATTAAAACATATACATAATATTAAAATTTCAATTATAAACTGCATTTTGATGTCAATTTCATTGACATAAGTAGTAATAAAGTTATTTCATAAAATTTTGAAAATAACTCTAAAACGTTATGACGTGCACTTTAACGTGCCTGGGGTGATAGGGTTAACATAATTGTGATGGTCAATATCTTCAAAGTTAAAAAACAAATGAATTTGACCTTTCAGTATTAGTTTTATATTTGTGCTAGCGAAAGTACACGACTTCACTCGGGTTATTAGGTTGATATATTCTAGATGACTGTGTCAGTATGATTGTATTCTGAACCTATTTTTCAATAGAACAACTTTCAAAAATATTTTAAAAATTTTATATCCCAGAAACATAAAAACGCTTTTATGGGGTTTTTCACTAGCTTGCCTCATCAAAAAGATATACATGTTCATGAACAAGATAAGTAATAATACCCAGGTGCACACTCTCAGGGTCCACTTAGTATTTTGTAATATAAGGAACTACTACTTTTGTATGTGACTTTTTGCTAGCTTACCTCATTAAAAAGAAGCGCATGGGTACCCAGGTGTACACCAGATGCAAACTTTCAGGTTTCTAGGTTCTTTCCTCTTGGAGTTATGGCAGTCACATATTTTTTTTCTGTGTGATTTTTTTTTGCTGGCTTATCTCATTAAAAAGATGCACACCTTCAGGGTCCACTAAGTATGGTTGCAAAATTTTAGGTTTCTAGGTTTTTTCCTCTTGAATCTATGGTGGTCACAACACACAAACACGCTCTTTTATTATTATTATTATAGGTATAATAAGCTTTCAGTGATGGTTGACTAAGGATAGTTATTGTTATAGTTAAACACCAACAAGCTAAGTAGTTATAGCATTTAGATGTAAAATAAAAATGATTGTTTTTCCTTTTTGTAGAGATTAGTGTTCTTAAGTGCATAAAAATGTGGGTCTACCATACTGGTTACATTGTTTTTGTGTCGCTAGTACAGTTGTTACAAGTAATTTAATCTTTGTTTTGAAATTTGCTGACCAACTTTCTTTTCTTTTTGTTATATACAGAGTGTCACTGATATCTTCCACACAACCATAATGCAAATTGAAAAAGCTGATGGAACTGTTCAAGAGAAGTCTGGATGTGTGGTTTCTTGAAATTACTACAGCCTTGTAAAAAATGCCAATCTTTAGACCTCTTACAAATCTAATATTACCTTGTGCCTCATCAGTACTGAATTCCTGAGGGCAAGCTCAGGGATCTTTTTACATCACAGTGTACACTTTAGTATGTTGACTTGTAAGTTAGCTGTATTTCATGAAATATCTAGTATATGTGCCTCTTTGAAGAGTTTTCAAATGTCTATAAGTCAACATAAAACCAAGAAACCACAAAAGGACATCAGGAAAGAAAAATATAGGAAATCTTGTAATATAATATTGAGATTGTTTTAACCTGAATTATGTTAACTAAAAACAACTTTGAGAAATACATTGTGCTGATCATTCTCATTGTGAAAGACCTTTAGTTCGGGATGGACAATTTTGATAATTTTTTCTTTAGTGGGGACTTCTCATAATTAGAAACTTTAGATGTAGGTAATAGATGTTAAGTAATTTCTCTATAAGTAATTAACTTTTTTTTACCTACAGTGATTTATTGTGCACTTTAGTTGCAAAGGAAAATATAACAAGTATGATATTTACGTAGGTTACTCCTCATGTTTTGTAAATATGACAACTTGTTCATATATTGAAACTGGGAAGTATGGTTGTTATGAATTTAAATGTTTTGGTAAAGGATTATTCTTTTTTTATCATAAATAATGTTTGTTAGTTTTATATTATTCAAGTATTTTTATGGCAATTTTTAAAAATTTATTAAAATAAAAAATAAGGAGCTGTAAGAAAACCATAGTTCCTTAACCCTTGATTACTAACACGGGTACACTATTTACCCCACATTTTAGCTTATGTGATGGTTTAAGTGTACTATTCATTGTAAAAAATGTTTTGCAATCTTACAAGAATTATGATTTACTTACCCTCTGTAAAAGTTGCATAGCTAGTAAAAAGTAATTGGGTACAAAATGTAACCTGGTTAGCTATATATAGATATATCTGTTTGAAATCTTAGTGATAGAACAGTAAGAATTCCTGATTAAAATGGTTGTAGTAAACCTTTCTTAGGAATATTATAGTCTCAGAAGTTTTGTTTTTTTCTCAATTAGAAACTTTAATGTAGATTATTTTGAATCATCAGGTTATATAAAGTTAACAAAAACATTATCAGTAGTAGTAATATTTTGGTAATAGTATATCCACCATAATGATAATGTGTTGTAGCAGAAATTGTCAGATATGTTTCTTTTAAGTTTAAATTACTTAAGTTTTTGATATCATTCTGTAATTTATTTCCTTTCTTTTTCTAAAGCTATATGTGATTGTTACCATCTGTCTTTAAAATTAAACATTTTACTTGATGGTCAAGTTTTATAATATTATATATCTGTTTATGTACTTAAATACAGAACCAAGCTCCAAATAAACTTTTTATGTACAAAGGTTGAACAAAATAATGGAAAAATCTGCTAATTTTTACATTTTCTTTATTGATATGGAGTTGGTCTAACATGAGCAGACAATATGGCATCAACACAACATGGAACTGATGAAGCATGGTGTTGTACTTCATACAGTGTTATTTGTTGACAGTTTATTGATCAAAGCTATTCTAAAAGTAATGTTGATAGTGGAAATATGTTTTGAAACTTTGTTTCAAGAACTGACTATAGAGGTTCGGTAACATTTAAATCTGGTGATTGTGGTGGCCAATTTGGATGCCCAAACTATTCCTCATGTTTTTTGTCCAGTATTTAACAATATCAGCAGTATTAGCTGATGCATTTTGTTCTTGAAACAGACCAGCTCTGTTTATGAATAGAGTATTAATCATAGGGTGAACCTGGTCTGCAATAAGTTAAGTGATTACTTGCCATCACGTTACTTTTCAGTGAGATCATAATCCCTAAACAATTCCAACTAACAGAAAGCTGTTCATACCATCACAGAGTCTCCACCATGTTTAGCTTATAGCACAAGAAACCTGGTCTGCAATAAGTTAAGTGATTACTTGCCATCACATTACTTTTCAGTGAGATCATAATCCCTAAACAATTCCACTTAACAGAAAGCTGTTCATACCATTACAGAGTCTCCACCATGTTTAGCTTATAGCACAAGAAACCTGGTCTGCAATAAGTTGAGTGATTACTTGCCATCACGTTACTTTTCAGTGAGATCATAATCCCTAAACAATTCCACTTAACAGAAAGCTGTTCATACCATTACAGAGTCTCCACCATGTTTAGCTTATAGCACAAGAAACCTGGTCTGCAATAAGTTGA